AATTATCAAGGCTGTTACACAATTTGTTAAAGTGGAAATAATGCAGTGATTACATTTACAACATAATAGCAGTACTTGTGTCTTTGCTTTGAATTAGGCCTATCAGACATTAAAACGCCCGTATTGTGGAAAACTCAATTTTCCTGACTTTAAAAGAATAAAATGACGGGCTTATTGCTTTTCTTTCTTCTATATTTGCTATTGTATATTTATTCTCAGATCTTTGTTCTTTATTCATATTGCTCTATTATTGTTTTACTACACAGTGTCACAACAGAGGAGTATGGGTTCCCTTTTAGAGTCTTGGTTCTTCATCTTGCTTTTAGGGAGTTTTTCCTGCCACTGTTGCCTTTGGCTTGCTCATTTGGGCCTTGGACCTGGATCTGTAAAGCTGCTTTGTGACAATGCCTGTTGTAAATTAAGCTATATAAATATGTTGAATTGAATGGGTAGCACTGTCACCTTACAGCGAGAAGGGCCTGGGTTTGATTCCCCAGACGAGCAACTAGGGTCCTTTCTTAAACTGTCTCTAGGTGTGAGTGTTTGTAATTGTCCATAGGTGTATATGTGTGTAGATGTGTATGTTTGAGTGCCCTGTGGACTGTGGACCTGTCGAGGGTGCTTCCTGCCTTCCGCCCAATGAGCTCTCTTCCAGTACCACCTGTGACCCAGGTGGATGAGCAGCTTAGGTGAGTGATGTAGTATTTAAACATGGCTAAAGTTTCAAAGTACACTGTTCACTCCCAAGTCTGTACAGTCCACATCTAGAGACTAAGCTGCATAAACAGACTGCTTTGAATACATTGAATACATCTGCCTATGTCAAACACTAGAGGGCGCTCCAGAGCGGGTGCAAAATGAATGGGTTAAGATGGAGCATTTGAGCAAAATCATAGTTTATAAATGTTTAAACATTTTTAATATAAAAGAATTCATTCATCCTGAACACAAAACAGAACAAAACATTTTAACACTGCTGATATGTTTTTAAACGCTTTTGAACTCCAGTTTTAGGAGTTTAAAACGGCAACTCATGTACGACCATGACGTCTGTGAGCGCGAACAGCCAGCGAGCTGCCCCGCTTGCCAACCAGTCAGCACTCAGTAATGCCAGCGTCCTGCTGCCCAAAACCCGTTTGCTGTAGAAAAAATGAAACATACAGGTGAGTTTTCTTTGCGGTTTAGTTCTAAAATTAAAGGAAAGTTCTGTGCAAGTGATTAGAAACTATTTTAACTTTTTTATCTTTATTTTTAGTCGTTTGGCTCCATTTACTCCCATTTATTGAGGACTCGCTTGTGGTCTCCCTCTGGCGTATTGCAGTCCTGTTTTTGATATAACAGGAGAAATAGGAAGTGGCCAGCCTTTAATAAACCAGCTCTGCCTATACATCCTACAGCAGTTTAGCTCCGCGTATTGACGGTGAAGTTATAAAGAGTGATTCAGTCCGAACTTCTTTCTGAATGAAACACAATACAAGGCAGCAAATCAAAACAGAGATCATTTACATATATTAGTCCTAAAGGCGCAGTAAGAAAAACAGCCTGTTTAATTCTAAGAGATAAAGAGAGGTTTGAAAATGGTTATGTAAAAAATAATAATGTTATAAGTGGACTTTTAAAACTGTTTATTATCAAGACTTTAGATGCATCTTCTACTTACAACATTGTAATAAGTGATCTTTCGCTTTGTACATGGTGGAAGACCTCTTCTAAGGCAATACCAACAGCTGGCCTGATTGTTTTAGCAGTTCTGGGAGCTTTAACGTATAGATTAGACTAAAATGTGACTGTTTAACCAGAAGCAGATGGAAATGGAATGTTTGGTTATGTGTTGCTACAAATGCAGCCGTATAAATGTAACATGCACCCAAAGATAGGGAAGATTGATGAGGGCATATCGCTAGACACACTTACCTCTTATCACAGGTTCAGGCATCAGAGCCCGGGCCCCATGGAGCAAAATCTGCACACTCACTTCAGTTATCTTGGCTTGTGGCTCTCTTCCTGTCATAATTATCGATTCTGTCTCGTCAATGGAGATCTTTTTTTCAGCAATTAGCAAACTAAATGAATATCAGGAGAGCAACGATAAGGAGAGCAAATGTACTTAAAGGGGGAAAAAGGGATTCAGCGATTGGATTCCTGAGAGGCTTGTTTTCCCCAGTCTGCTCAGTGCTATAGATCAGACTCAAGGGTGAAACATTAACGAGAAGAAAGCCGTTTCCACACAGCCTTTGATGAACTTAATATGGTTGCAGTTATTGAAAATTAGAGAAATTGTGACAAGAAAACTATTCATTATAAATAAGGTACAGTATATTTGCTCAACACTTGAACTGCAGCACTTGAAAACATGGCAGAAGTCAAAAAGCAAGAAATGTATACCCATAAATATAAAAGGTACAATATGTACATATTTCTGATCTGAGTAGGAGTGTTTTAACTTCAGAAAAAGGACAACAATGACAAAAAAACACCACACATATAATAGTAATACACATTTCTCCATATATTATGTAGTATATAAGCAAATCCTTAGTCATCAGTCACTATGAAATCCTTTTAAAAGGAAGATTTGCTGACAGATCTTAAACAATTTTCCACTCATCCCAAATGTAGTTGACCTGCCAAGACGTTTGGTGTACAAATTTTGCTTCTTTAGTATAGCACTAGCGCAATGAGGCTAACAATGCTAACACACACCTGTAGTCTAAAATAGCTATCTCCAGTGTTCAGCTGTAGCTATTCCACATTAGCCATGTTTACATGCAGCCTGATAATCTGTTAATAATCCGACTAATAGCTCAATCAGAATAGAAAACATCCAGGTAAACACCGTAATCGGAACAGTCTAGTCCGATTGAGGTTGTTTGTAATACAGTTTCTATCTGATTGAACAAGGCTGGTAATCCTGTAAATATTCCTTTAAATTGAAGAATAATATCCGTGTAAACAGCTGTATCTGATTACATTCCCAATCGGAAAGTTTAAGTATGTTCTGATCATGTGCGTCACATCATAGCGAAAGTTTATAACGTTCAACATGGCAGGAGCAGAAACTGTTCTGCAGAGGAGACGAAGTTTATGCTTTGATCTTTAAAAGACAGTGGTGGGACGGACGTCCAGCTTATGTGTCTCAGAACAGACGTATCCCTCTCGCCCTTCTTTAATAAGCACGTGTGAAGTACGTTTTCCTGAGTCTGCCGTGATTTTAACGTAATTTAAAATACAAGTGTGCCAACTGAAAACTCAGGTAACACACTGCTGCTCATCTCACTCCTGCTCATGGTGCTCTACGCATGCGCATAATTTTGGATTGGATTACTTGTAGTGTGCATGTAAACAGAAATTTTCCATCAGATTGTTCAGCAGAGTGAGCACATAAACACCTGTCTTAATCTATAATTGGAATGTATTCAATCGGATCTGCAAAAATCTTTGCATGTAAACAGCCATTGACAAGTCTGTGTGACCTTAATGAAGACCTGGATGTGGCCTGAGCTGGTTGAGAGAAGTTACTTGTATGTATTTACAGAAAAGATTTGGGTGCTTATTGACTTCCAGTGTTAGCAGTGTTAGCCCCATAGCTTGGGCGCTAAACCGAAGCAAAATTTGAACACCAAACATGTCTTGGCTGATTGACTACCTGAGGTGTAAGTGGACAATTTTTTGAAGAACATCCAAAACAGTATCTGTAGTCATAAATACATAAATGCTGTTATTAAACCCTTAAAACCCCATTTAACCCTTAAAACACATTTATTATGTCCGTTTCATCATTGATGTTTGTAGGTCAGTCTTGACCCTGTATGACTAAACCATCACAAAACAGTCCTAAAACACATTACTCTACACTTTCGTTTGACCCTACTTGCCTATTTGTCCAACAACTTAGACATTAACCTATTTTATTGTAGTTTACTAATTATAATTAGTTTATTTACCTTAAAAAAGGCAATTTTTCATTAGAAAACAAACAATTTAGAGTATTTTATGGGTTCAAATTGCTATTTTGGATGTAGGAGCCATATATTCTACTGGATTATCTCCCTCTAGCATGTATGTACTTCACAAATATTTAATTTGTGTTGATGACATCACATTATGAATAAATTACTAACTTTTATGTTAGGGGTCTAAATTGACCCTTATGTTACAAATGAAACCAGAAGAGTTTTATTTGTTTTTGCAGAAGACCTTGGGGGCCCTGGGGTCAATCAATCTGATTATATTACATGCTGTAATAAACTCTCTGATTAGCATTCTTGATTGCCATTCTGAACTACAGTAACGTTAATGTTAATGTTTGATAAAAACATCAAATTGGTTAATTTTTACATATTCATATCATCACTGTTGACGAAGTCATCAAGACGAAGTTTTATGAAAAAATAAACCATTTTAGAGACATTGAAACCTGAAAAGGGTCTATTTTGAACCGGAACACGATAGGAGGGTTAAAATTACAGCAAACAGACACTGTTTTTCTGTATGCCTGGCCTGCAAGCATATCTGCTCCTATTACAAATCCGTTTGCAATAATTAAGATGGTAGATGCACAAAAAACCACCATGATTCGCAAACACCACCAAACGTACACTGCAGTGAAGCCAATCATAAAAGTTAAAAGTGACTGACTGTCGTCCTTAAGTATCACCGCTAATCAATACATTTGATCAGGTAAAGGTGCAATCCGTTAATCCGTACCTGGTTTTACAGCCAGTCGTTTGTATTTGGATTGGTGAAAGGAGCATGGCACTGCCGAGCGATGTGTTTTTTTTACCCACCTGTACTTCGGTAGCTACTCCGCCTCCAGCGCTAGGATTGGCTAGTAGTTTCGTTGGATTCGTTGTGTGTGGGAACTGTTAGCAAATCGCAGCGCAGGAGGCGAGACCGCACTGGCCAATCCCAGCGCGCCGGGGGCGGGGCTTGTCCGAGAACGGGTGTGTTAAAAAAATAGCCGCCACCTCTGAACACTGCGCTTCGAAGCTCTCCATCAGAACGCGAGACGCGCGCGAGACGTTCCACGTTCGTAGCGAGTGAAGAAACAGCCGTTAAAAGAGCCGTTAAACAGCCGGAGAGGACGAACTTCAGCAGAACGACAGAGACACTGACTGAACATGACCCTAAAGCTGGACGGGTGACATTTCTGCAGATTTACACGCATATAATTAAAAAATAAGTCGTCTGAACGGCGTCTCTGCACTGAGGAGGATTTTTACACGCTGTTTGAAGGAGGCGGCGGCGCGTGGCTCCGCTGAGGTGATTTTTTTAACGAGACATTTTGGATTGAAGCTTTCTGTTTTTTAGGCAGCTTTGCTTTTTTTTTTTACCTCGCCGTGTCCCCAAGTTTGGGCTTCGCCGAAAGCGACCGTGTGAAACCGTCTCCTCGGCGGATTTCCCTCGACTTTTCGTCCGTATCGATGGGGAAAAGTGAAAAGACTGCGAAAAGAAGGCACAGAGGAGGGACTGGATTCTTACTGCAGATGAGCACCGCGTCCGTTTTTGTGTTCGCCGTCTTCGTCCACATCGGTGGAGCTCAAGGTAAGCAGCAGTTTGCTGACCTCCCAGCGCTAATAGACTCCTAACGAGTGACAGCCTGAGGTGCGGAGATAAGCTGCCAGGAGCCCGAGTGGAAAAAAGTTTAGACACTTCATAGTTTAATATATCACAAATAAATCTCTGTCCAGTGGGGAACTTGGAGCTCACAGTGACACTGAACTTCAGACGGTCACGCTAAACTAGGCTAATATCGCCTGAATAATAACATTACGGGCTGCGTCCAAAGCCGCGTAGCCTACTAGCAAAGACCGAGTACACCACCAACAGAAGTCCATTCACTAGCGCAGTAGTGTAGTGTAGTAGTAGTGTAGTAGTAGTAGTGTGTGGTTTTGGACGAAACTACATTTTCAGTTCAAAAATAAATATTTTTACTGCACAAATCTGTCTGAAAAAGCCGAAGTGCATCACTTAGGCCGCTGAAAAAAGAAAACTGAGGGAGATTATACCACCGGCGTAAAAAGTCGGTTGATTCTGAGGTCTTTGTATTTTTTTATTTTTTAATATTTCTTGGCTAAAGTGCCGAAACTTAGCAGCACAAACTAAGGCGGTAGAGTGCGTTTAGCCTTGTTAGTCATGTTACATGCTTATTGTTAAATGACACATTGTATTAATCTGGTGGGTGTATTGGACAAAGTAATTGGTCATTTTACTTCCTTTACATATATATATATATATATATATATGTATATAGTTATTATTATTGTAATTATTATTATTATTTTGTGTTATGCAAATGAACGCAGTGGTGCGAATGATTGCTATTGTTCTGTGTTAAAGCAAAAAAAAAAAAAAAAAAACGCCACCGTAGCCTAGCCTCCAGTGTCTTTGCGTGACCGCTTTTGGTTTAACTTTAGTCTTTGAGGTTTTAATATTCATGCTAAAAGTTTTTGAAGAGCTCCGGCGGCTCGCAGCGGAAAGGTCCGCGGCGCTGAACGGAGCTGAACCGGCGCCGAAGCGCTTACCCAGCGCGGACTGCAGCAGAGTAATTAGATGGTGTTATATAGTTCATTTTCTTTTCTCTTTTCCACATAACAGTGAAATGTGGTGATGGTGAAGGCTTTAGTCGCCTCGGTTTAACCTTTGATGCCTTAAACATCAACCTGAAGCCGCGCTCATTAGCCCGAGTCATTGCTGTAGTAGTACAGGCTGCGATGCGTATCAAGGCCAGACCGAAAATGAGTACAACGTGATTAACACACATGCGAAGACGTTCATGAAGGAATCGCGGCGCTGGTGTGTTTTAGATGCAGGTTCGCACTTGAGGCTTCGCTGGCAGGCGTGCTGGCGTCTGCTGCATGCAGTGGAACGATTATACAGCCAGTATTGTTGATCCTGGAAGCATGTCTGGTGGGAAAAAATGATGATTTCAGACCCCAGACTGGAGCCCTTCAACTAACTAACTAGCATTATACGATCCTTTAACAACCTACTACCAAATGTTTCTTTTCTTTAGATGATTACATAGGAGGGCGCAGGACAGTAGGACCCCCGATACACCTTCTAAAACTGCAGTGCTTCGTGTTTGTGCTTGCTTTGAAAGGGAGTTAATGTATATTTTATTAAGACGAGTCTAAAATGATCAGAAATCTAAGTTTTAGGCCATTCCCTGGCTTTCTCCTACCTGTTCCCATCAATAATTCAGGATGAAAATCTTGCTGTGTGTATTTTTGTAATGGTTGATATTTTTCTTGAACCATATTTGTGAGAGCCTCGCTTGTTCACCAGTGCGTACGATTCATTTTCCCATAACTTTTACATGTTCCAGCTTATGTCTAATGATCTCTAAAGTATCGGGTTTCTGTGCATGGTATGTTCCAGATGTCGCGTTAAGGCACAAAACGTTGATGCAGCTCTGCTTCATGCCATTTAAAGGAGAGGCCGTGGGGGCCTCTGGTTTAAGGGATGGAGCTGATTGTTATCTCGGTAAACAGTTTCAGTCATCTTCTTGACACACAGGGACAGCGTAAAGACCCTCTCCCCCATTAAAAGCCAGTTTGCTAAATCTCATCCCTAGCAGTGTTTGACATAGGCTTAAATTCTCCCACAGTGGGGTGATGAGACAGTTCTGGTGTGCATTCTTGCCCTGTGCAGGTGGCCAGCTTCTGCTGATCTTGTAGTTATGGAGATTGCTAAAAAAATGCAATTATATCAAATCCAGGACAGTAAGCAGGGAATTGCACAATGCCCCTTTTGTACTGTTGAATTTACTCTGTCCCCCCTTAGGCCAACAAAGGCATCTGAAATTAGTGTTTATTTTTGTCCAGTCTGTTCCTAACAGCATCAGCCTAAGACCAAAAACATTAACGGGATATGGATATTCCATGCGGGCGTAGGTTGGTGGCAACCTTATCCAGTAAGGCGAAGCCCCACTCCACAGTCCTGCATAGTTAATGAGTAACATGGAAAAGGAGGAAAGCTACCCAGCTCCAGTTTCTGAAGGGCACAGCAGGATGACATAATCCCCCCATTCCAGAACCCCTCCGAGGCCAGTGGCATTGACTACAAAGGGAACACGAACCAGGTCGCACCATGTCCATTAAGAAGTCGATATTGAGAGAGAACATTGTTTGTGTCTAATTAATGGGCCTCACGTTTTTTTTTAGATACTGGTGAGGTGTACACATTCCAAAATCACTTGGGGATCACTTCACAGCTAAAGTACCTTCCAATTTAGTTATTCGAGAGTTGCTGTTCTTGAGCAGTCACTGCTATTATATGCTGTGGATTCTTCTCCTTGCTGCACCCTTTCTTTTTTCCCCTGCTCCTTAGCCTTTTCTATCACCCCTCTAATTTTCCACTCATGATACACTTGTTTTAATCAAGTGTGCAGAATCCAGCTTAGAGTGGATCAGAAATTGAAGTGTTGAATCCCAGCTTGTCTCAGTGTTCTCTTAGCACCTTGGTTTTGCCTTGCTTTAGAGAGAGAGAGAGAGGACTGGAGAGCAAACAGAGAGAGGCTGTACCATCTAGGGTATAGCAAAATAACTGACATCTCAGCCAGAAGTGTCTCTAAATGTCTGCATCTGAATAAGTGGTGACAGTGGCGTGCAAGTCAAGAGGGAGTTAGAGGGAGTGAAGAGCATGGAGTGTAACCCGGAGAACCCTTAACGGAGCGCGGACAGGATCCTGCCCTGCCGTTCCTCTGGCACCCAGATGGGTGTGTGGATTTTGGGCTGAAGTAGGCCGGCTGTCTGTTTGAATATGCAGATCCTACGTGGATGAAAGCCGAAGATGCCAAATGTGCGTAAGCCATTCTTCTACATATTTTTTCCCTTTTTTTCTGTTGTTCTCCTGTAGGCTGTGGCTTTTGGCCAGGTAGGATTGTTTCTTTTGTTCCGTGCAGTCTTCGTTGAATGCTCCCATAAAGCCTTTAGGGAGCATCAGGGGAAGCAGTGAGCTCCACATGTAGAGTTCCACACTCGTCATAAGCAGACAAGGCCTCCTTGTTTGTCTTTCTAGCGCATAATAACTGCGAAAAAGCCAAACCAAAGCTAACCCGCAGAGCCTGCCGAGTTGGTCATAGCATGAGTTCACTTTTTCCATGGCCCTCCTTTTTCTCTCTCACTTTATTATTTGCCCTTTGAGCTTTGTTTACAGAGGCTCGTTTTAATGAAAGTATTTTCATTATTCAAACTACTTAAGAGCAGAGATGTTCAAAAAAAGGCAAACTGACACAGGCGCATTTATAGTATAACGCACAGTCTACCCGCTAAGTGTAAGACGGCAGAGTAAGCGAGAATGTTATTACTATCATCATTACTCTAACCACTTCCCTCATTGCTGAACAGTGGAGTCTCAGGGGCACTGCTAAGGTTACAGCCATCACGCTCATTCTCCAAGTACGTTCTGAGAGCACAAAGACGGCATTGTGCATGGAGAAGACTACCATGGAATGACCTAGCGCTGTAATGTGTAGGTAATTCCCTTAGGATGACATGATGTAGGGCACTTTAAAGGCCATTTTTTATTTGGTGGGGGGAAGGGGGTGGGCATGGGGTCGGCGTGGTGGGGAGGCTTTGGAGTGAGGCACAGTACATCCGTGCACTTACATGTAGGTGGAAGTAAAGGTCAGGCCAAGCGGTGTGTCATCAGAAATTCTGGAGCCTTGTCTCCTACTTTATGCCTTGTGGGTGTCAGCATGGCCTGCTGTTTACTGGCCTTCCCCCACGCTGAGGAGATTTTTCTGTTATAATTACTGTGAAAAGTAGCTTGCTGAGACTGCAGCTCTTCCCCTTGACGTCACACAGCACTCGGGACATGGACGAGATGTATTGCGGTGGGCAAACTGCATTGTTTGTGGCAAAAGTAGCCTCATCCAGCTGTGCAACCAGGTTACCCAGGCTAAGCAGTGACAGTCTGTTCCTTCTCTGGTGTTTGTGGAAAAAAAAAACAGAGTAAGGTGAGGGACTGAGTGCGATTAATCACATACTGTCACCTCCAAAACTACAGGGGAAGCATCAAAGTGCAAGCCTTCAGTTCTATTAGCAGTCCATTAGTGGAGGCCGGCACAAGTACCAGCACTTCACAAGCATTCCAGTGTGGAAGTGACTGACCTGTCTGTCAACGGTGTCAATACCTCTCTCTGTAATGACCCTTCCAGTTGCATTCACGTTCAGTCTGAAGTGTGTATGTATGTGTGTGTGTGTGTGTGTGTGCAGCTCAGAATGGTGAAGAGTACTACATTTGAAACAGTTCTCTGTGTCACACCTGTGTTGTGGCGGTGAAGACATGTTATTCTTTTCCTTTAATGTGATAGTCCTGATTGGCTTTTCCTGTGAAATCCAAACCTGAACAGCTAGGGGCTCTTTGTTTTTCATTCACAGAGGATCTTCTTCTTTGTGTGGATCCTCTGTACCCAATTATAGGCGTGGATCTGAGAAATGTAATTCATGGCCTTTACTCTGCATGGAGAGGGTAATTGTTATCAGGAAATAGAAAGAGAGATGAGCGTTATTACCAGTTAAGAGGCCTTTTTTGGGTCA